AGGAATATTGCAGAAACTGGTCTAAACCTTCTATTGGAAATGCTTAAGAATTTTCAGGTATGATTTTGTCATGGTTTTGCAGAACCTATGATTATTTGACTTTAAGATGTTTGACTTCTGGCTTTGGTATTCTTGACAGGCTTCTGAGTTCTGTAACCAATTCTATCGATCATACTTTTTGACAATTGAGCAAGAAATATTTGCTGTCTTGACAGACACGTTTCACAAGCCTGGCTTCAAGCTGCATGTTTTAGTTTTACAACACTTTTTCTCCTTGGTAAAGTATCCCATAGGTCATGCTTTCGTTTTGTTAGTATGAAGTCAATCTTATGAAAATTATATGTTCTCAGGTTGAGAGTGGATTGTTAACGGAGCCTTTGTGGGATTCTGCAACAGTTCCTTATTCTTATCCAAATAATGGAATCTTTGTTCGTGAGTACACCATTAAACTTCTGAGTACGTCATTCCCAAACATGACTACAGCAGAGGTAAAAACATTGATTCTTATTCCTGCTCTCTGTTCTATAGTTAAATATAATTTGCTAATCTTGGGGTTTTTCAGGTCACTCAATTTGTGAATGGTCTATTTGAGTCAAGAAATGATCTCTCAACGTTTAAGAATCATATAAGAGACTTTCTTGTTCAGTCAAAAGAATTTTCAGCTCAGGTAAAAAGTTGAAATAGTATTATTGCTTTATTTCTAATGAGTTTTGTAGATGAATATACTTCCTTCGTTCCTAACTAAGAGACATTTTAGGCTTATGCATTGATTTTAGGGATCCTTGAGTCTAAAATACTAGTTTTTTACCCTTTTTAAATTCTCTCTTTTTATCACACAAATTCCACTCTGTTTTTCTTCTATGGAAAATGAAATTCCACACAGCTTGATCTTCAAAAAAGAAACCAAAAAAAAAAAAAAAAAAAAAATCCCAACAATGTTGTTTTCTCCTTCGGTTTCTATCACTCCAATTCCATGATTTAAACCAAGATTTGATCATGAAAAAAATATACAGATTCCTTTATAGGATCAAAACTGAGACAAGAATGGCTTCTTAGTTCCTTCTTCTCATCCCTTTCCTCTTCTTCATTTCCCCTTCATTTCCTTTCTAAATCTCTTCGAGGCCCCTCCCTAAAAATGTCCTCCATTTGTATTCTTGCTAATTTGAGGGAAAATAAGATTGGTTCGTAAAAGGAGAAAGTGAAAGAGGAAAACTGGATTGTTACAGAAGAGAGAGGTGAAAGATGAAATATGGGGATTGGCATACAGAGGAGAGATTGTGAGAGAAAAAATAGGGATTGGGTAGTTAAAGAGAAAAGGGGGGATAAATTGCTGAAACAAGTTATTTTAGTGAGATGGTAAATTTGGAAAAAGGAAATTAATGTAATGTTGTTATGTGACAACTTTTCTGTACAACTTTTTTATATAATTTTCAAATTTTCTCTCTAAAACATTGAATATTTAGGAACAGAGGGAGTACCATTTGAAATAGGATTGTCATGCGAATGATGAAGATGAATAGACAATGTATAGAATCAATAGAGGATTAAATGAATCCATGTACTTGAGATAGCATTTTTGGATTGAATGTCACTTTTTCATTTCGGTATATTTTTAATTCATGAGTTTTGAAGGTTCAATGAATCAGTTAGGTAGAATCATAAATTTTTCTTATTAATGTTGAGTTTGGCCATATGACTTAAAATTTCAAATGTGGATTGTCCAAAAAAAAGAAATCAAATGTGAGTGGAGTTTTTTATTTGGGAACTGAATCATACCTCCTTTTCTTCATTTCCTGCAGGACAATAAAGACCTATATGCAGAAGAGGCTGCTGCCCAGAGAGAAAGAGAGCGACAACGGATGCTTTCAATTCCGGGGCTCATTGCCCCCAATGAAATACAAGACGAGATGTTGGACTCATAGGTGGTTATTGATGCCTTGGATGCTAATTTTATGAATTTTGACCTGTGAGTTATTAAGGTGTGCCTTAGAGATCCCTGTATCCATTGGAACAGTTCATTTTACCCAATTGTTTTCCTCGTTCCAAAATTTCCATTTAGCCGCAATGGTGAATCCACAAGGCCTCCTTTGCGCAAATGTTTGCAGCTTGAAATGCCGGTTATATGTCTATTGGTATTGTAGAATAGGTAGGTGTTTATGTGAGGGATTATGTCTATAGTTGCAATGTTGATCATATCGAGTCATTGTACGGGTTTACGGTTGTTTGAGGATCCAGCATCTTTAAATGGCTCGTTCTAGAATATTTGTAGGTTAAGGAATACTAACCTAGGTGGTAGCGAAATTTTCTTTTCCTTGGTTAGGTGGAGAAAGTGTTTGTTTGGCGGGTTTAAAAAAATTAAAAGGAATAACATCCCAAGCTATCTCTCTCTCTTTATATTTTATTGAAATTATGTAATTTTGAGGTGTTTTTAAAAAATATATAATTTTAAGTTATTTTTATATTTTTATATTTTAGAAGTTTGGTTAACAAATA